TATGCTCGATTAGTTATATTCCCTCAGAAGTTTTTGGGTAGTCCTGCATTATTTTCAAAACAAAACGTCATTAACACTTGTACTACATTATTTCTCTGCAGCTGCACTCATGGTATAATTATCATTCTTAAACCTCCATCACACAATTGTTTGAGAACATAGTATAATGTGAGATGCAAATATAGGTATCATCACTATTTCTTTTGCAGATCGAGAATATACAACGGGAAATCTTCGACGGACGTCTTGAATAAAGCTAAATCATCAAATATGCTCAATATTATCAACAAATAAAATATATTATTTTTTTCAGTCCCAGTACAATGAATGAAGAGTTTAAGTATGTACCACAAATGACTGATTTAGCCTTTTCATGAAACTCAAATTACATTAAAAGATTCCCACAGATCGTAAATCAAGAAAAACGTTTTCTTTTTTTCCTGTGAGATACATTCAACATTTAAGATTCATATTAGGAGAATGTAGATCAATATCTAGCAAAGTCTTCATGGCTTCTCTTGTTTGACACAGAAGTAATACCAAATGCAATGGAGGTGTTGGATAAAAATGCACTCTCAAGACAGATACTGCTGAGGACCCACAAAAGAGCCAGTTAATGAGAGGTAAATGTGGAAGGTTTCGATTGGCTTCACGTCAAAGAGTTGGCAGAAGCAATGTCTTTGTACACAGCGTCCATTCACGGCGAGGAAGAAGCAACTTGGCTGCCCTTTCTAGAGACGCGCCTGCTGTAAAAGCATTGGTTTAAATGGAGGTATTCACACGAGCGGCGTAGTCGCGCTGCTGTGGCGCTCGGTCAGCCCAGCGACTCCAGCCATCAGCAGCACAAACGCATGTCCGCGCTACCATCAGCAGCACAACATTTTAAATAGTCCCGTTCACACTAGACCACGCGGACGCGCCACTAAAGCGATTTTCACTCGCCGGCTGCCTTTCTGCCGACGCAGCCCACAGCGGTGGGACTCACGAATCCTGTTTGTGGCGGTGGCTCCGTGTGAAGGCTGCCTAGGAGAACCGTTCTCCCCCTAGACGGCCGTTCTGCGCATCGTCTGCGCAAACCCTTCAGTCCCAGCGCCCACGGAAAGCCGCCCACTCCACGCGGAAGGCTCGTCACATGTGCGTGACGTGGAGAGGATTGTCGTAGGCGGCGTTAGCGTGGCCGCCGCCGCTGCCGGCACCCCCCGTCGTCGCCTCCACGTCCTCGCCCTCGCCCTTGGCCTCGCCCTTGGCCTCGCCCTTGGCCTCGCCCTTGGCCTTGCCCTTGGCCTTGCCCTTGGCGGCGAAGTGGGCCTCCACCTCCTCCAGCGTCTTGCCCTCCGTCTCGGGCAGCTGCAGGTAGAGGAAGACGAAGCCGCCCACGCCGAAGGCCGCGTACAGCCAGAAGACGCCGTGCAGGCTGAGCGCCGACTCCAGCTGCAGGTAGGTCTTGGCGGCGGTGAAGTACAGCACGTACGCCACGGCCGCCGTCAGCCCGCTCGCCAGCCCGCGCGACCTGCGCCACACATGGCCCACCCGCTCACGCACAGTTTCGGTGCTAATGAAACGTCACACTGCTATAAAAGGAAGGTTTTAATCTGACGGAGAGTTTTGATTCGCCGAGAAAGACCATGATTTAGCTTATATTCTGAACGAGGATAATTAACCTTATACTTGTAAAAATATCCTTTTTCTAAACACTTGTCTACATTCAACTAAAAAATTATGATTTTTTAATGTGTCACTTGTTTATCGACACATGAAATAAGATTGGATTATTGCCTCCGAAATGAATTAGCAAAATTTCAGTTCTTGTCTTCGAAAAATGAACAGTGGAATGCAACTGAGTCACTCTACTATTATTTATCCCAATATTTCGTAATAAAGAATTAAAATTTAGAAAATATGGCGCATGTTTGCTTCTATTTTGTAAGATTTGAAAGAAGATTTGAAAGCGTGTTATAGAGATTTTTGGAAAACATTTGTGAATTTTCCGTACTTTTCTGCACAAAAAATAAACAATGAACTACAAACGATCTATACTTTCAATATTGTTTTTGACTAGGTTCGGTTATACACATATCATTAAGATAGTACGGTTTTCCAATTTCATCCAACGTTGGATTCTAAAACACTAATTCAAGGAGGCATATTCTGCCGGATGGTTACGGGATACTAATGAAACAAAATGTGTAAATGTGTAATGGGGAGAAAATACTAATGCTATCGTTTTCCCATTACTTCTACGGTAAGTTGCAATATTGAAATAAGAGATGTGGAAAGAAGATTGCGAAAGGTAGATTACTTTTGCTTATAAATTCCACTGCATAAAAGTGTGGACAAGGATTACAGCCAGGACCGCAAGAGGAAAATAGGAATAGAAGCGCGCTCACCTGAGCGGGTAGACCTCGGCCACGTACATCCACGGGATCTGCCCGACGCCGAAGTAGGTGAAGAAGGAGAGGGCGACGAAGGCGGCAAGCGGGACCCAGGCGGCCGGGGCGGGGACGGGCGCCGCCTCGGGGGCGGAGGTGGCGTTGGAGGCGGAGGGGGAGGTGGCGTTGGAGGCGGAGGGGGAGCCCGACACCACGGCGAAGGCGTAGCCACCCAGCACGACGCAGGAGAGGGCGCAGCCGGCGATGGAGACGAGCGACAGCCGGCGCTTGCCAACGCGCGCCACCACCGCCATGAGGAAGCCCGTGGCCGCCAGCCCCAGCACCGCAGACACCACCTGCAATCCACTCTTTCAGATGGCTCACAGCACAAACGTCGAAAGTCCAGGCAAGGACATTTTTAATACATTGGTGTTTGCGGCCGCGCAACTGCTGATGTCATTATTACCGTAAGTGTAGTACTTTTTTATCGCGGGAGGTGGCGGGGATCCCCGCTGGCTGCCGAGACACGGCGCCGATCTACACGTTAACTTGCGAGTTTTCCTCAACCAGATACCGCCTACTACTACCACCTTAACCGGGACAAGCTCCAGATCGCGACTGGTCTCCGGCACATGATAGTGTAGTACATGTATGAGTGTGTGCGTGTGTATCGACGATGTTAATCAGATTCATAGATTGGAAGGGAAGAAGAATGACATAAAACGTGCAACAGCGATGCTAATTATCACATCAGTGTATTACACAACAATGATTTTTATCAATTTGCGACTTCAATATTTTACAGTGAGTATAATTTATTTTGTTTTTTTCACAATTTGTAATATTCATATTTGTAATACAGGTAAGTTGTCCTAATAATTAATGTAAGTCTTCCTGGTATATGATATTTTCGCCTCGTTGCTAGCTCAACTTTTCTTAGCATGCTCATCACACATTATATACGAGAGATAAAAGTACCTATTAATAATAGATAAATACATTAATTAAATAATAGTAAGACATACTTTTTAAGTTTGAACTTCAACAAATTTCCTGATCTGTGATTTTACACAGAAATGAACAAGTAGGTATTTAATCAGAGATTAATACCGTATGCAATATTTGTGAAGTCTAATAATATCTGTTGCTTAGAGGATTATGGTCCTATTATTTTTTTTATGTAACAGAACTTTCGTTAACAGTGAACGATGTATGTATATTATCTTGCAATGACCGGTATCTATTATTTAAAAGCAGGATAGAATGAGTATATTCATTAGGTCTGATTATACAGACACACAAAAAAAGGTGGCAGACTGAAAAACTTACACGTTTTTTCTCCATGTATGTCGACGCGCTTAATCCGAACGAGAGAGAAAAATTGCACCATCGCCATCCAGTTCTTTGTAATCACGAACAACCACCGTAAAATTATAAATTATATAGTGATTTTTCGCGATTTAAAAAAACTGGACTGGATTTGGACACAAACACGTAGGAGACTTTTGAGTTATACAACGCTTTGCCACATAATACTGAGCAAATAAAATCGACAAGTGAGCTTCTGTAACTGCTGTATTTTCTCAGTGATGACTCTTTATACCTTTGAAAAACAACAGATAATAGAATACAAAGTTAATTGTTTATTGTTTTGACGGCAATGACTTTGTGAAAGTTTTCTTAACATTTCATATATATATATATATATATATATATATATATATATATTATACTTTCAATTATTGCATCACGTAAAGCTGAAGATCTGTGATCCCTAATACTGGTCGCAGGTTTTGTCTAGTTTCTTACGATCAGCAGAGGAAATGTTCGATTGGTCCCTTATGTGCTTGTAGACTCGCTATCCTCCTTGAGTAAAAGTTACATGTAGATTTGGGTTTAATGTGGAATAGAAAATAAATAAATAAATAAATAAATAAATAAATAAATAAATAAATAAATAAATAAATAAATAAATGAATAATCTAGAGCAGTGGAGTGGAGTGCAAAATGGAGTGCTCACCGTGGCCCAGAGCGGGTCGACGGGCAGCCCGTACTCGTCGATGATGTGCACCATGTAGGGGCGCACGCCCGACATGCCCGAAGAGTGGAAGACGAAGAAGAAGGCGACCACGAGCAGCAGCGGGCGGCGCGTCTGCGCGCGGAACAGGTCGCGCACGCGCAAGCGCAGCACGCGCAGCCTCTGCGCGGCGCCCTCCTGCGCACCGGCCAGCACGACTTGAGGCGCATGCGCCACACTGGCCACATTGCGGACCCGTGCTGCTCAGTGGGTCTGGCGAAATGCTTTCATTTTCTACTTACTTTATTGTAAGACGAACGAACAAGTATATGTACCAGCATTAAACAATGTAGCATTGAGGGCCCGGAAGTGTAGAGGGTTTTGCATATTAACAATGTAGTAAATAAGTTGAAGTACTTGGACAGGAGAAATAAATTAATGTTTCTGTAAAAATGTAGGTTACTATATTTATTAATAGATTGGTGGATTTCTGCCTTCGCGACGAAGTTATGATAATGATGAATGTAATGAAGAAAGATACAAATCAGTAAAAATAGACCATTCAGTACTTGTGAGGATTATGTAAACGGTGGCTAAATAAAAAGAATGAAGTTTCATCCTTTCTGCAAAACAAAAAAAAAATGTTCCAAGTGGTCGTTAAGGTGAGAAGAGACGATTGGGAAAGACCATATCACGATAGACTAATTTGTAATATGCATTAGTACTTTAATGCCTACATCATCTCCCCAACAACGTTTAGAGCAGGGCTGTGCGTATGCAAGACTGCCCTCGGCGACCCTTGCCCGAGTGTCCCCCGCCCTTCACCAGCCTAGAGCCGCTTCGCCCGAGGGCGCGGGGGCGGCCACGTACCGGCAGCGCGTAGGCCTCCATGAGGCGCTGGGTGTGCTGCGCGTAGGCCTTGAGGTCGCGCAGCTCGTCCGCCACCGCCTCCGGCCGCACCCAGCCGCGCAGCCAGCACAGCGCGCGCAGCGCCTCAGCGTCCCGCCCGCGCGCCAGCAGCCACAGCGGCGACTCCGGCACCTGCACGGCACGCGCGCCGACCGTCGCCCTCGACTAAGCATCAATCTCTAATCTTGCACGTTCAAAATAAATATGACCCTGTATGTAAATAAATGTTCAAGGAAATACCAATGCATATGCACGATGTTTTTCAAAAGCATACTGGTTTTGACAGTCCAAAAAATATTGCAGTGAACAAGGAATTACACTCTGCAGAGGCTATAGTAATGACGTATAATGTGCGTATCTAAGGTGGCAACTAGTACATACTCGTACAAATTATTCATCGTGATCAAAACCTTAAAACAATTTTTCTTTCAACATCGCCAGAGCAGGATACGCCATCTTCCGAGCAGGATACCTCGTTTCACCGGGCAAAGAGTGACAGTGTGTCCCCTTGGAAGCGCGGGCGCCGGCCACTCACCAGCAGCATCAAGAGGAAGCTGATGACGGGGATGGTGGCGCACACGGTAGCCGCCGTCCGCCAGGGCAGCGTGGCGCCCAGCAGGTAGACCAACAGGTAGCCCGCCTGCGCCATCACGCCTGCGCACAAACCAAGCGCAGCCTCGGTTAACACAATGCGCGCTCGATTACTCAACAACCAGCCTAGCGCGGAGCCTAGTGGGGGTACTTACTATCTTTATTAGGCCAAAAGAGAGCAAGTAACAGACCGAGTTGGTTGTAAACAGCGTCCGCTGTTTGTAATATTGGACGTGAATCATTCAATACTTTTTACTGAACCAATGTATTGGAAAGGGAAATGTAAAACTCAGATACATCGAATCATTCATAAGTGCAAGTCATTTGATTACTATGTATGAGGTTGCACATTTACTAGGACTTTTGTGAATGGGGTCTTTGTACACACTGGCCTCGTAACGTCAAAGATAGCACGCACCTGAAACTTGTAGATCGCAATGAAAACACTGTGGTTTCATATTTTTTACCTTCGTCATTTTTTTACCCTGATAGACGAAGAAACAAATAACTTGTAAATTTAGTCCACATGTAAAAAGAAAAAAGTTTTAATCGAAATCATTTTATGAGTATTTGTATTAATATATTTCTGAAAACCAATATTTAAACATTTCCTATTGACGATTTATTTAAAACAAATTTCTTGAAAACTTTGGTTAACTGTAAAATATATGTAATCATTAACACTTTCTTGAAATTATTAATTTAGAGAAACCAATGTTCTATAGTTACTTTTTTTAACCCATTGATGTACAATTTATTTTAAGAAAATGAGTACATCACAATCTTAATATTTAGATACTTTTATTGAGTGTCGTTTTTTGTCCTGAGACCAAGATACCTTGTCTTTCGTTTTGGAATCTCAAGCTTCATTCCGGCCCTCAAAAGGTATTAATGAATGTCTATCTCTTTACATCCTAATATTTGTTTGTTTGTTTAAAATATTACTTGACAGAGATGTGCATTACCTGTGCTCAGACACGTCGATTTTAAAACGAGAATTTGATTTGATGCTCTCATTCTAAACTCAACGTCAGAATTTTCTAAAAAATAATTGAAGTTTGGGAAACTAGTTTTTGTTTGGCCCTCCTTTGGTCCTCAAAGTATCCACGGTGCAAAACTGCTTTGGATGTGTTTTAATATGTATGTTCTTATTATATACGAATATGTATATACACAGATAGATAGATAGACAGGTAGAAAGATAGGTCGATAGATGCAGATTGCTAGCTAGATGGTAAGGTAGATCGATCATAGGAGCAAGAAATGGGACCGACCTCTGTAGCGTAATGGGACGCTCCAGAAAGAAATGCCTTGAAGACATTTTGTATACCTCTTATATCTCTTTTATGAATAATAACAAACAGTAATTTCATAAAAGGATAATACACTTAAGGGACAAAGAATTAGCCAATGATAAGTCACTCAACAAGCACAATAGAGATATTAATCTTTTTCGTTTTTGCTGGAGTTTGGCAATCCACTGCCAATGTAGTGGAATACAATTCAGTAATGTATGTAGTATATTTTAATGCTATCAATATGCATTTGTGTTGATTACCTGATTTATAGATTTCTTTGAACATTCAATTGCAGCTCCTATAAAACGGACATGAGGTGGATCACAAATATCCTGACCAACTCAGGTACTAGTATATGACATTTAAAATGATACTTTCTTCGGCTAGTTTACATCTAAATAAAATGAAAAGTATTAAAGTAAATAAAATATGTTTTGTTCCAACCTTAAGTCTTGACGGCATCTTTTACTAAACCATTAGAAGATAGGTTCCTACAGATATCCTGTAGTTTGATAGCTATAATACGTAACATTACTTAGAAAATAGAGAAAACAAAGAAAATATTGTTAATTAGTAAAATGAAATAACACGAGAATGTTAACTGTGGATCAAATGTTTGAATTCTAGACTAAGCATTGCACTTCTCCTCCCATCTGTCGAGACGGTGTACTGAAAGAAAACCAGTTTGACAGGTTCTCGGTTTCAATTCTCAATGGATATTCCAGGACGGACAATGTCAGATGAATGTGAACTACAAGCAAGTAAAAACTGCAAATCCTGTGTTCTTATAAGAATTTTCTAGAAATCGTGCATGCACATTCGAGTACAAAAATCTACAGCACTCAAGCAAAGTAGAAGGCATTATCATTCCACCCTATCCTGTGTAGAAAATCGCAAAATCCTATTCGGTTTTCGGATTGAAGAGTATATAGTGTTGTATTATCTATCATTCACTAGACTTCACCGACGAGTTTACACATTAGTAAAACTCATGGCAAAAACCGTAAAATTATTCTGAAAATATTCATTGTGAGATTCTATGCGTTCAAACGAATTTTAAACAGAACCACCATAATATTCGTTCCGCCTTTAAAATACAGTTGAAGATTACACAGTGTCCTCTTAATTAAAATATTATTAAACAATTAGCATATTTTCAGTCATTATAATATAATTACATAATTGTATCCAATAAATTGAAATGTTTAACTTAAAATTAGAAGAAAAAATAAGATTTACAAGTTTTTCAACGAGGAATAACACAAAGTTTATTGTTCTTCGTTTTTGGATTGTGACATTTCTTCAAGAAGAAAAACACGTTAACAGAAAAGATTTATTCTTTCTCAAAAATGAGAAGTATAGAAACAAGAAAAGTATCTGACAACCTTAGACTTCTCTTGATGTGTACTCACGTATATTACAAACTAATGATTCTTTATTCATGGCAAACTTTTTCCGTATCAGAACGACTTAACACGATCAGAAACGTTACAGAAAATTAAAGAGGTCGAAAAAAAGAAAAATGTATTCGGTACAACGTTCTATTCATTGAGGTACCCCTGGACTTGCTCATTACATCTCACTGCTCTATTTAGGAAAACACTTGTGTTTAAAATGTTATGGGTTCCTACTCATCGTAAAAAAATGAATTGCCCTGTTCCCACAACACAAGCTCTTTGTTTGGCTTCAAAAGGTATGTGAGAATATTAAAATTGCTTACTGCTTCGAAAATGTTTTAATATTAACGGGACTGGCAAATTTGAGAGAAAAGCCCGCATGATTAGTCGATAAATAATCGGTAGTTTCATTTTCACGCATGACAACCTTGGTATATTTATTTGATTGATACGTGAGGACCGTAGGTGAACTTCAGTAGAACTATGACCCGTATGAGTGCGTGGCAATATTTATAACATTACGAACTTAAAAGTGCATGATTGAACAAAATAAGAAATATTGTTTGAAATAAAAAGGAAAATATGCTGTTATAGTTGGAAGCGGGCCGTAATCTATTATAAGCTGATGAGCCAGGAACAGCGGAAAGTTTTAAACCACAAGGGACTGAAGGGAACGTTAGTGCTTTGTAAATGATCGTGTTGTGTTTCGTTATAATCCATGTTATGTTGCTAAATGAACGGACATGCGGGAGTCTTGTTAGTGTGTTATAAATATCTAAGTTAAATTTTAAAACATTAGCATGTATTTGTTAAACCAGACAGAGAGTACTTGCCAATATTTGAAATTAAGATGTTGCAATAAAAAATAAACAAAAATAATTATTTGTTGCGGAAATACGAGTGTAGAAAATTTTAAATATGTAATTGGTAAAATATGGCGTGTTCGGAAGACCATCGTGGAATATAAACAGTTGTGAATGATCTAAGTACAGATTTCTCAACAAACAACAAATGAGAACTGTGAATTTGTGTAAACTCGGTATGGATTCCCGGTAATGGAGGCTACCTGACAGCCCTCACTTCACTCGCCAGTGGGGGAAAGCGCATCGAGTGCAGCTGGTAAGTTGGCAGCGAGCCAGCGCGCATATGCAGTGCAATGCGTCGAAATCCGGGGGTGGCCCTTAGCCAACTCCGCTGTCCTCCAGCAAAAGTCGAGGAGCCAGCAACGTTCGGGTTAATTGGTGGCTGTGTGCCGAAAGAATAGTCAAGCCAACAAACAAAATACTCCCTTTAGTGCGCCAAATGGCGAGGCCACAGGTGGGAGGATGTTCTCTTTGTGTTCTCGGAAAATCAAGATGAATATTTCATGAAGTAATAAAATTTCCAATAATTATCTATTTTATTTTATTTTGAAAGCAGTAAGGGTTATGTAACTATGACGCAATACATTACATGACGGCACTTTAAAATTGACATTCATATTTCCTCTGTTTTCCTCTCCTTCAAAACATATTTCAAGATATCTGTGTTCTTGGATAATTTATTCTTTGAACCAGCTAGATAAAACACTTTTTCAAAAACCTCTGAGTACAATGTGGGAACGAGGATTTTTTTGGCAGACGAAAGAACGGAGAGAGATGATTCAATAAACAGACAGTCAGACAGGTCTTGTTCCTATGCCTGAAATGGTTTTTAAATTTCCAAGATCTAAAATAATTGTTAAGCAGAGATACAACACCTGCAACCTATTCTATTCGTAGGATGAAATTTGAGAATGTTTCATGAGCTGGCAACTCCTTTTTATCGTCAGTTTTAATTTCACGTAAGGTTAGTGATTATTGCACAGAAGACAAAGATAAACCGTAATTGATTCTGGGCGCGTTCACTATTAAGGCCATTAGTCCCGTATGTGCAGTGCATGGAGGTGGCGGTGATCTCCCGCTGGATGTCGAGATCCGGCGCCGATCGACCTTCGGGCTGCGGGGATTTCTCTAACCAGGGACCTGCCACCAGCGGGGCCCCGCCCCAGCAGAGACAAGCTCTAAGCTCCCGAATGGTCTCATGTCAAGACTGACGGTATGGTGCGTGTGAGTGTAGGGGTGACGACAAGGAAGAGGAAGAGAAAGGAAAGATCGCTTGCGGTCCGCGGCCTGTGTTAGGGTAATGCTCCAGCATTCGCCTGGAGTTGACCGAAAAACAAACACGGAAAACAACCGATCAGAGCAGCCGGGTGCTGGAGTTCTCCTCCAGTCAGCGTCTGAATTCGATTTTGTTGACAAGCTACGCTAGGCACTGCAGTGACTGTGGTTGATACCCTGAGCACCTCTCCTGGTACAAATGACATATTCATGTTTAATATTACTATTAA